ACCTCCTAGCAAATAATTTACAGCAAAAACTGCCAATATAACCTGTTTCACATCTGTCCATCAGTAAAGTACTCAACTGTTTACTTAGTTACTTGCTTGCTTACAGTAGCAGTGACGCTGGATGAAAAATTATTTATCGATATCTACAGCCAAACCTGACTTCCGTTCAGCATATGGCACCACTGCATGGGGTCCAAATATTTATGCGAGATTTAAAAGATAACCCCATTTATCTCAATACAAAAATATAAGTATTTAATAGTTTCTTAACGCCAATGTAAGTAAAATGCAGTAAACTAGATTTAACCTAATTTCAGGTGGAGACTCCTTATGGACATTTTTGGAGTAAAAAAGTAACGTTTTGGTTTTTCAAATATTAAATCACACATTATTTTCATCTAAGCAGATAATTTTTTTTTGAAATTTTAAGAAATAAGGAGGAAATAAAAAAACATAAATAAAAATTATTTGCTGTTAGGTTCAACCTTTTTGTGAACAATCTAGTAGTTAATTTTTCTGTCTTTGAAAATAGCATCCATATAGTTTGTAAAAGATAAGCAATAATCACTTCTAAAACTCGATCTTTGGGATAGCCTTTAGTTCTTTCAGCGATGCGTTTTTAATGTCATTTATGCTTGCAAAACGACGGCCCTTTAAGGTTCTCTTTATTTTTGGGAATAGGAAAAGTCAGACAGAGGCATGTCTGGCAAATTTGGAGGCTGGGGCATCATTACAGTATTGTTTTTGGCCAAAAATTTTGTTTAATATTTAACAATTTTAGATCAAATTTTGCTGCCACGCGTTTCATACCCAAAACATTCGAAAAAATTTCATGGGATGAGCCAATCGATATACCAACATCATCAGCGACTTCTCTGATGGTTTATAACCATTTCTTCCACTTTTTCCATGTTATAATCGGTTGTCAATGTGCTTGTGCGTTCGGGGCGTTCGTCATCTTCAACGTCTTCAAGGCCATCTTGGAAACTCTTATACCACTTGTAAACTCTTGTTTTACTTATAGAAGACTCACTATAGGCATTTCACAGAATTTATTTTATTTTTTAAGCAAAATTGGATACAAATTCTTTGATCCATTTCTTTTAACAAACAAAAAATCGCCGAGCTCATAAAACACGTCTAACCTTAGTGGCTGCCACAGACAAAATAAACAATGAAAACAGCTAAAGTTTTTATCATACTTCGGGGGCATGTATACCAACATAATAATGAAAATTTTATGACAATCGGACCCTCCGAACCCGCGAAATTTAACAATTCCCGTTATTTTCTGAACACACCTCGTATATACATTATAATTATTATATATGTATAAGTCACTACAAGAATTAACGTCCAGTGGCTTTAGCAAAACACCCATTCACCCTTGGAGTCCAATGATTGGACAACATTCACGTGTGTTTACAAAAAAAAATTTTTTTTATATAAATTCTTTTTAATGCGAAGATTATTATCCGCTCGGAATACTTGATGATGAAAGAAAAAATAAATGGGTTGTAAAAATTAATTTATTAATGTAATAAAAATGTGTGTTAGGTGTTAAAAATCTTGTTAGAATTCTTCGAATAAAGTTATTATGCAAATTACTTTAAAAGAAATGAATTAGATTATAATTTTTAATGGTCTCTAACCATATTGCTAAATATTTACATGATACAATAAAATGTAATGGACATTCCTAAGTTATATAAGGTATTGAGTTCTAAGAGTACGCAGTCAAACTGCGCACTCTTAAACCACCTTACCCTACGACAAACTCAAACAATCCTTACATAGTAAGCAGCATAGCCAAAAGCACCCAATACACATAAGACGCCATCGATCAGGTCGAGTTCTTCAAATTGGCTTTGACCTCCAGGCGATTTAGCTTCTTTTTTTTTTCGTGCCTTGCCTTTCGCGATGACCACATGGTATATCGATAACTGTTCACGTGACCCATGACATCAGCCCGATGGCCAACCCACATGTGGATTCTTTTTGTACTGTTCTTTGAAACTAATTTGGTTACGTGAAAAAAACACAATTTACGATACGAGTTTATTAAGAAAATTAATATTTTTTATTGGTTAAACCGGAAGTAATACCAACTTTCTTATTTTAAATAAAACCATATAGGGTAAAGTAGACAGTTATCTGACACTTTATAGTTATTGGACAATAATTGTAATTATTACCATTAATACTGTAAAAACAAGTGTTCTATAAATAGTTACCTTAAAGACAAATCATTAGATGACGCTGTATACAATTATAACTATCTCAGTCGGTAATAATATAGAACTACTTTATTTTGGGTCCAATATACGACAAAAAAGTTCGCACGTTACTTGGTGGTAAGATTGTTGTTATTTTGTTATGAGCAGGGCTGTGTTTAAATTACAATAAAAAATATTTCTAAAAAGTGTACAGATCAGTGTGTGGTATAAATGTTTTTCTTGTGGTTTAAACATTGTCACTTTAATGCGTTTTAATTTTAATTCTGAAAACAAACAGTAAAATGGCCAGTATCCAATAACTGGCTGGTAAAAAATGTGAATTTCTATTATTGGACATATGCCCAATATCATACTCTATTTATATCCCGGACATTTACCAGCCAATTATCATGTAAAATTGTCCCCTGAATTCGAAAAGGCCGTCAAAAACCATAAAAGTTAAGCAGTTTTTGAGATGTAGTCAATTCCATATTATATGTAAAATTGATTATATTTCAAAAACGGTTCTACTTTTATAACTTTTGACGAAATTTTCGGATTCAGCGAATAATATTTCATAGGAATTGACTGCTTAATGTCCTGGATACAAATTGCTGTTTACGAGAATTATTAGTGGCTGCTTTTTCGCTATGACATTTTTGACTTATTCATTTTTAGAGAGTAAGTAATATAGGTAGCGATTTCTTCGTCACAGGACATCTTGCAGAATAACAGTGATTTAAATACAGTGCATGATAGGGAACATAAAAAACTAATGGCAACAAAATTATTAAATTCGGAAAATACCGCCCGAAAAAGTATTAGATATATATAAATCATCCTGTTCCGGCCTAAACATTATAAATGCTTCACAAACTAGAGATACCACACTTAATGATATTTGCAACAAACTATTTCAGAAGTCAGACTAAGGAAATATATGAATTATATGATATTTACAAAAACCAAATTAAAAAAATTACCTAAAACAGCAATTATCTTTAAAATTATTTAACAATTTATGTTATTTGATGTAAAATTGTTATGTTTATTAAAAATTGTATGTCCAATAACTATGTTCCATGTGTCCAATTACTATATAAAATGTCCAATTGCTATACTTTTTTGCATGTTTTTATAAAACTATTGCATTTTTTCAAAAATTTTGACAGATGGATGGTCTAATATTTCTGTATCACTACTATTGTATTTGATAATTTTATACAGGGTGTTTACTTTGATTTTAATTTGGAAAAATAGACTAAAATGGATTATAAACGCTTTTTAAATTTCAAATCGATATCACGGTGTCCCTAAATAACTTTTAATTGAAAGGTTCAGACGTATCCGATTTTTTTTCATATTTTGTTAAAAATTACCTACAAGACAATTTTTTTTCAGGATAAACTCAATTCGCTTGGCACTTTTTTAGAAAAATCAATTTTTATAAAAACATTAATGATTTTTAATCAATTTTTTGAGATTTTTAATTAGTGAACTGAACAGCTTTTAATGCATTTGTTACATAAAATGTACAATCCATTAGACTAGTGAACTATTGACATATGTCACTTATCACATGTCACATGTCAAAATCGTGATTTAAAATACCGTTGCGTTATTTTACCGTTTTTTTCAATTTGTCGCAGACTTATTTATAAATTAGATATAAATAATTATATTTGCATTGATTATAGTATATAGTGCAATGAAGCTAATAAACAACCATGCATGGACTCACTCGGATAATCGAGATATTTTGTTTAATTTGTCTTAAAAAAAAAAAAATGTTTAAAATATGTGGAAAGATTCTGGAAAAAGTTCAAAGCATAGCTTTAGGTCCGAAACATCAGCAGCAGTTACTATCGCTCTTTTAAAAAAAGAAAAAAGAAAGAGCGATAGTAACGGCTGCTGATGTTTCGGACTTAAAGTTTCACTAATATGCACGCATAAAAAATCATTAAGGTTTTTATAAAAATTGATTTTTCTAAAAAAGTGCCAAGCGAATTGAGTTTATCCTGAAAAAAAATTGTCTTGTAAGTGATTTTTTATCAAAATATGAAAAAAAATCGGATACGTCTGAACCTTTCAATTAAACGTTATTCAGGGACACCGTGTAATGCTCAATCACCTCAAAATGTTTTTTGTTGATATTTTAATTATTTATTAAATTATTTTGGCTTAAATTTATCTTGAATGTACTAAAGTAATTGGTATACGGCAAATAGATGATATTTATCTTAACAATATGACATTTTAAATACTAAAACTAAAATTTTAATGTATTTTATGTAGAAATCAACCATTATTTGACATTTTTTGTCGTTTATTTTAATAATTAAATTGAAAGGGCAACAATTGTAATTTAAAGTAAACAAGTTTCAGTTTCATCCAAATTAAGCCCTCAATTTATTTAACAATTTATTTTATTTGATGAAGTTGTTATGTTTATATAAAAATTGTATGTCCAATAACTATGTTCCATGTGTCCAATTACTACGATATATAAAATGTCCAATTACTATACTTTTTCGCATGTTTTTATAAAATATTTCATTTTTACAAAAATTTTGACAGATGGATGGTCTAATATTTCTGTATCACTACTATTGTATTTGATAATTTTATACAGGGTGTTTACTTTGATTTTTATTTTGGAAAAATAGACTAAAATGGATTATAAACGCTTTTTAAATTTCAAATCGATATCTTTTTTCGTGTAGGTGGCGCCATCTTTATGCGCTTTCGTGAAGCGAACCTAACCCCCTTCTCTCTCTGTTCCAGATCTTCCGCGACCAACGGATAGATGGCTCTGGGCTGCCGCTGCTGACCGAAGAGCATCTCACTTCGACGATGAGCATGAAACTTGGACCGGCTTTGAAGCTGCGTTCCATCCTGGCGAAAAAGTTGGGATCGTGCAACGTGTGCCTGCACTGCACGCACTGCCACAACTCCGCGGGGGGTTCACCGGAACCCGCCAACACGACCGGAAGCACTTCCGACTCCGGCGGCAACTCGTGAGACCGTCGTCCGATGATATTTGTGATTGGATGAGGATTTTAGGAAATTGTCTGGGGACCTTTTTGATTGTTTGTTTAATGTTTTTTTTTACGAAAAATGTTGCAAAATATGAAATCCACTTGAAAGGTCTCAAAAGTTATTCAAATTTATTATTTACTTAAATACGGGTGAATATGTTGAGATGTCCCCCAAGTGATTTATTTTATTTATTTTTGGTTGTTTCACTGTTATTCTAAAACTAGTAACAACATAAAATGATAAAATTTAAAGCAAAAACAGATTCACGGAGGATAGAATCAACTTTTGTAACACCTACATTAATGGTTATAAAAATTATTTCTTTTAATTTTTAATAATATTTTATATTTGATTCGATTGCTTTGGATGTGTTTAATTTACTTAGTGAACTGATATTTTTAGTATGCTTTTACTACCTCAGATATTTGAAATTATATAGGTTAACCTAGAAAGAGTAAGTCACGGAGGATAGGTTTTCGACTTTTAAAACATTGTAAAAAATAATTAATTGCGGTTAAAAATCTGGAACCTGAGCTGTAATATCTACTTAATTATGAAAAATCAAAACACAATAAAAGTGTAGGTCAAAGTCATTTAGTTTTATTAAATATGACGGGGGACATTTCGTGAGATTCACCCATACAAAAATTGATTTTATTGAACTAAAAAAAACTTTTTAATATTTATGAGGCGCCAATTTATTTTTAACCAGGAATTAATTTTATGTGTTATATTTTCAATTAGGTTAAAAACACCACATAAGAACTTTTATTCTGCAAATTAATAATATCATAGGAGATATTTGTAATTCGTTTAATTTTTATTTTATTAAACAAGATTATATTTTTTGGACACCCCTGTTATTCCAAAAGCCCAGTGATTGTGCCGCCATCTAGCGACAGAATTAGTTTGGAATACCAAACTTTCAATCTGAATTAAAAATGTCACATTGAATTTAAAATATCTGCTTATTTGATAAAATAAAATTTAAAATTAATGGAAAATATCTACTATGGGTTAACATAAGAATAATTCCTAAATAAATTATAAAATGGCGTCCCATACGATACAAACTTTTTATGAAATTTTCATATAATCAAATATTTTTTTTAAATTAATAATTTAGTTTCAATATTTTGTAAATAAAAATCATAATGTATCGAAATATGTTTATAATGATTATCGTATATTTAAAATTCATTTAAAGTGCTCAAATGCTTTAAATTGTATATTTCTATACAGGGTGTAACAATATAGTGCAATTGTTATTACAATTATATTTAAAAAAAAATATATATTTTTAAAATTGTATTTGTAAATAATTAGTTTATAATAAATATACAGGGGGCCCAACAAAAAAAAACAGGGGAATTTTAATTTTTCGTTTTCGTTGAGCCACCCTGTATATAAACAAATATACTTAATAAGGGAGAGTCTGTAATACTGACTCCGTATCTCATATATCTATTTTTCTTAAGTACAAAAATCCGCAAAAATCTTCATTGTTGACAATGTCTACCTACTTAAGTGCCTGGATACTTAAAGTTATACAGGGGTCGCAAAATTAACTGCTTTTTAACTATAGCATTTATTTTGCACCACCCTGTATCATGCGTTTACAATTTGTAAACGTATGATGTTAGAATATTTTTAGATGGTTCCTAAATCTGACTACAAATTTATGGACAATATTTCTACTTATTATATACTTTGAATATCTGCTCAATATTTATAAGATGCATTTTTTCTGTTAACTTATGCTTACGCAATATTTTTGAGAGTATAAATTATTTTGTGTAATATAGTTTTTTATTATTAAGGTATTTTTAAGATTTTGTACAGTATTTTGTTTTTGTCTTATTTCTTATTATTGTATTGCATATAATAATAAAATAATTTTAAATATTTATTTTTTTAATTTTATTTTATAAACCTTTTTCTAGAAAAACACTAACAATGAGCATAATTTTCTATAAATGTGCTACGTATCCAAGAGAGTTGTTTAAGTCAATTTTCTATAATTTGTTGGAAACAGTAAGAATTTATATTTCACCATTTGCACAATATTGTCAAGAAAAGAGTTGAAATCTGTTGTTAAAAATATTTCAAAAATAAATGTTTCTCTTTTGTACAATTTTTTAAATAATTCGTATAAATATAGTGTAACTTTGAGTAAGAATATAAATTTTACAATATTGGACATAAGATAACCAATGAAATGATTTCGCGATTGAAATACAACTGCAATCTGCATCATCAGTTTGCAGTTTTAGTTAGTGTTAGGAAGTGTATAATTGTGAATATTATTTTTCTGAATATGTAGGTAGGTATTTGCAAAATTGTTCAGGGACTGGTATAAATCAAAAATTATGATCTGATGATCAAATGAGGATAAAAAGTGTTTCTATGTTCCTACTGTGCTACATTATTGATCAGCTTACTATTTACTTTAGTTTGTAATTTATGTTTTCAGGTTATATTAACTTAATTCTATCCTTACAAAATTTTTGTGTTGGTCGCTGAATACATATTTAATCTATCGACATTTGTACTATTATAAGTGGAGACGCACTTCATGTTGAATTATATCTCAATATTATTAGAATTCAGTTTGTAGTTTATGTTTTGTTATGCTTATTTAATGTTGTCAATGTCAGTCGCTGAATACATAGGTATCTAAATTAATAATTTAAATTCATTTTCCTTCTTACCACCCTCCAAAAGTTATTAAATTTTTTACATAAATTAGAGAAATTTTTATTATACAATGTTGTATTATTATGTGCCACAATTTTTGCAATTTTACCCACAAAATATTATATTAAAAAAGGGTCTAAAACACTAATTTACTTACACAAATTATATGAGCCGATTAGATTAAAATATGTTCAAATGTCAAAACAAAAGGGTAAGATTTACGCTCGTACTGTATAATATAATACTACATATTAGGGTGATTCAAAAAAAGCCTTTTTTTAAAAATGAACCCGCACTGGCCTAAATTATAAAGATTACATTAAAACTAAAATATTGATACCAAAAAATCCAAATTCGATGAATATTTAGAGGTCGCTCAAATCAATTTTCGTATTTTTGCACATTCGAGCCGCGAAATTATTACTGCACAAAATAGTAAATAACTCCGTTAGTTTTTAATCGATATTATTAAAAATTTAAGGGTTACCTAGTTTTTTAATACCCTCTGAGACAGTGTATTGAACTTTACAGAAAAAAAAATTTTTTCATGAAAAAAAATAATTTGTTAATAAAAACGTATCATCTTATAAAATAAGCAACAATTGGAATCGCACTATGATGGTACCGTAAAAAAACTAAGAAAATAACACTTAAATTATTTAGTATACAGAAAACCTGCCGAAAGAAATATTTTATTTGATTTATATAATATATAACCTAAAAATAATTAAGTAATTTAGATTTTTCACATTTTTAACCGATTTTATAAATAATTTTTATACGTTTTATTAATTATGACGTATTTTTATAATATTTCTTTATTTTTAATACCATATTTAATTAATTAAACTAGGTAGTTATTAAATTAGGTCCTTTTTACAACTAAAATAAAATAACGTTAACTACAAAATTATTCACTGCATTGATATGGCTTAAGCAGAAATTTAAATTTTATTAAAATTAATGACATACAACAATTCTCAAATTTTGATACCAAAATTATTTGATTCTGTCTAGATGTTGCTAAATTGACATACCACAATAATTAGTATTATTCTTAAATTTTGATAGTAGGACCTACTAGCAGGTAGTTGATAAATTATATAAATATAAATATATATATATATATTATTTACTTAATTCAAAAGCGTCTAAGTACCAAAACTAATTTGTTGAGAAATTAAAGAAAAACATGGACGAACAAAGCTATATATATACTCTCTAAAGATTTTCTTATTTCGGGATCAATTTAAACTCACTAACAATGAAAATAAGTCATTGCATAGAATTTGTATTTTTATATTTCGTTTAGATATTTGCCTGGTTCCAAGCTCCAAACGCAACTTGCGCGCCCAAAAATGATTTGAAAACACTTCATGAACTTCATGTTTACAAAAATATAGATTTGCAAATAGGAGAGCTAATTTGTTTGGCATTTTTGATAAAAGAGTACCTACTGAAACAAAAGAAAAAATGGTTGAAAAAATTAACATTAGAAACAATCATTGCAAAGAAAACGATGTAGAACAGTGGATTTTTTTATTTTAATTATAAAAAGGAAATAAATTAATAACTACTTAGTGTAATTAATTAAATATGGTATCAAAAATAAAGAAATATTATAAAAATACGTCATAATTAATAAAACGGATATACATTTTTTATAATTTTGTATGAAAATGGAAAAAATTTGAATAACTTAATTATTATTAGGTTATGTTTTATATAAATCAAATAAAATATTTCTTTCGGCAGGTTTTATGTATGCTAAATAATTTAAGTGTTATTTTCTTAGTTTTTTTACGGTACCATCATAGTGCGATTCCAATTGTTGCTTATTTTATAAGATGATACGTTTTTATTAACAAATTATTTTTTTTTCATGAAAAAAAATTTTTTTTCTGTAAAGTTCAATACAATGTCTCAGAGGGTATTAAAAAACTAGGTAACCCTTAAATTTTTAATAATATCGAATAAAAACTAACGGAGTTATTTACTATTTTGCGCAGTAATAATTTCGCGGCTCGAATGTGCAAAAATACGAAAATCGATTTGAGCGACCTCTAAATATTCATCGAATTTGGATTTTTTGGTATTAATCTTTTAGTTTTAATGTAATCTTTATAATTTAGGCCAGTGCGGGTTCATTTTTAAAAAAAGGCTTTTTTTGAATCACCCTACTACATATATTATAATACGCAATAAAATATAAAATTCAAGTATAATTTTACAATGTGTTTAAATTCAGGTTGGATTAGGATTAGGATAAAATCCGTCATGGGAAATTTCAAATAAAAATTCACGTTGTAAACGATTTTTCTTTCTAAACCCTTTGGAAAATGCGATAATATCCTTGTCCAGTTGAGAATTTTACTTCTTTGACAGACCGACTGACATTGATACGGGAATTTTTGTATTTAAATCGGATGAACATTTTAACAGTTCTTTCAGTAAGATTTATAAATATTATAAAAACTATAAAAATTCAAAAAGGCAGAAATTTAAAAATTAAAAAAATTCTATATTTTCTATAATCAGAGTGGAGATAATGGAACAAGCACTATAGGATTTTATCATTACTTTTACACTTAAATTAAAAATTAGCATGTGCTAGTCATTGAATCAATGAAAATTAATTAGTTTTGGGAATTTGTATATGTAAATTCAAGTCCTAGGAGAACAATCCATCATTTTATCAATTTATTCATTAGGTGTAGGACAAAACAAAAACTCATAAATTGAGATAATATGAGAATAGTGAAAAAGGATTTTATTTATATTTTAAAATAATTTTTAGCAATTTTAAATTCACCTGGTATCACCATTTTCTAGGGGCAGTGATATAATATTATAATTCTATTAGAGGTATTTCTAATATACATTTTGCCGGTTGGTTGTGTTGTGACCTGTTGTATGTATGTACTTTGGAATCATTAAAACACTTTTTAAATAAATGAAATTTAATTAATTTATTTAATGTTTTTTGGTAATTTAATAATTAAAATATGTAATAAAATCTTTATGTTAAATCATATTTTTGTTACTTTATTATTGTTAGTATAAAAAAACTTGCGCTTTTGTTGGTATCAAACAATAAATGTCTTATTTTATTTAAATATTTTTTTTTCAGTCAATCTTCTAGTTTTCAACGATGCCAATATTTAGGCTTGAACTCCCTTCACTACGAAGGTCCTTGATTTTAATTGTTAAATGCACGTTTCAATAATTAAAATCAAAAGGCCTATGTGGTGAGGGGGATTTAAGCTTAAATACTAACAACGCTGGTAGTTTCAGTGAAGATCAGAAGCTTTTGAATAAAGCAATTCATACTATTGGACCAATTTGCTCTAAAATCAAAATAAAATGTAGTTAGGTCAATAGTATAGGTATGTTTTTGCAGCAAGACAAATTTTCTTTCTTAGAGAGTTCCTAAGCTTTTCAATAAAGAGATGCAGTTTTCTTGTTAAAATCCCATTTGTTTGAGCTAAAAAACGTTTTCTTCATTCAAAAGAGAAATATCTTCCGAAGAAATAATTTTGGTTCTTGTAAAATTTAA